AGCCCATCTATAACTATATATAAACATATCCATACTCACACATATACATACATACTCACAGTTGCATTCATGCAAAATGTAATAAAGGTTTCGCAAATACGAATTAATTCAGTGAACACAGATATACAATTTCAAAAATTCACAACAAAAATTCAATGATAAATACACCTTAAAAATGATATCTGAAGAATCAATGTTGAAAAGCCAAAAAAATAAAATTTTAGAATTCTCTCTCTTCTGAGAGCATTTATAATCCATGCTGTCTCTGGATGCCTTTTTTAATTATTTATTATCATATTAATCAATTTTACAAGGATATTCAAGATAATCTATATAAAATCAAAGGCACTCTGTTTTTAAAAGACACTTTAGTTGTTTTTCAAAGAATTTTAAATGAACTTTTTCAAAGTAAATGTCATTTATATATTTTTTAAATTCCTCTAAATAAATGTGTTTACAGGGTTTCAAAAGGTATTTAGTGTGCGTAACAGTTTTATGAAAGAACAATATTTTCTCCAACATCCCCATCTGCTGGCTTAGAGAAAAAATGGATTTTTATCTGTTATTTCTTTAAATATTTTTATAATTTATTTTATGGAATTGAAATATAAAATTAGGTTATTTTAAAATAGACTAATAGCAATTTGTCAAAGTCATTCATGAAAAGAAATAGAAAGGAAAGATTTTGAAGAGGAAATCTCATATTAATCATTCTAAAGCCCTATGGGATCCAATACTCATGTTTGTAGCTGCTTTAGACAGTTTTGTTTTAAAGAAATTTTGGTAATGAGCAGAGTACTAATTTCTTAAATTTTTTGAGAATGTAAAAATAGTATTTTCCTCAAATCTGCTGTTTTGTTAAACTATATACAATATGTGGTGTGTACATATATGACAAAATCAAATTTATTATTTTCAAAAAATCTGAGTTTCTGTAATACACTGCTTCTGTATAAGAACAATTAGAATATCGTCACATCCTCAAAGGTTCTTAGGTAAGACCATGGTGGCCAGTGCACACTGAAGGCCGCAAGGTCTACAAGACTTTGAAAACTATTCAGAGGAGTACAGAAGGACAAGGTTAGGAAAAAAATGAATTTCTATGAGAAAAGTATTCGTTTATTCTCTGACAACCAGAAGGCACTCAAGTAATATTGAAAGAAGGAAGAGAGTACGGAGGGAGGGAAGGAGAAAGGAAGAAAGGAAGGAAGGTAGACAGAAGGAATGGAGGAGGGAGGGAAGGAAGGAGGGAGGGAGGGAGGAATTCTTGAGGTCCATCACTAGTCTGAACTGTTGAACACATCGGATGCTAGTTGTTTTTTTTTTTTTTCCTCCTGGGTTTATGGTTTGTATTTTCTCATATTAAAGGTTTATGTTTTAACAGCTTTCAAGAAAAAATAAAAATCTTAGCACTATCTCTAGCTAAGAAGAAAAAGAAGGAGGAAAGGAAAGGAGGACAGAGGAGGGGGGAGAGTGAAAGAGAAAGAAAGAACTGGAAACCTGTCTTTTATTTCCTCAGGTACCCCTGAAAACAAATGGGAACAAACAGGTACTTTCCCTATCCCACTGTGACTGTGAAAGGGAAAGATGTGGGAGTTGGTGCCCTGCACGTTTTTCCCAGTTGACAATATAATGACTTCACTTCGTTTGCATAACCTTAACCCATTTGGTGGACTAGATCCTTACATCAGAGTCAACCTAGACATTTCCAAATAAGTTCCTTTATCTCAGGAATAAAACTAAATTAGTAAACTAATTTCTCTTCTATCTTGAAATTTTATTGTTGTTATAAAACTCCACTTTCTTAATATATACATTTAACTCTGGGATTTTTACAATTTAGCTAGGTGAAACAACAAGCTACTTTATGAAAGTTGATTGATGATACATATTTTAATAATGGAGTTAAAAAATAGAATTCCTAAGATTTCTGGAGGAAATGAGAGGAAGTCATTTTGGTTTTAGCTATCAACATATTTGATGCTGCTGCTTCCACTTCATATAGTAAAGAATCATGGACTCCCCTGACCACAAAAGCAAGCAAAGGCTAAGCATTGGAGAAAAACCTTAAGCAGGATTAAAATGATCAAGACTCACCTTGACAAATTTAAGATTAGAGATTTCCATTCATTTCTTGACTACTGACTTCATGGTTGTAGTTTACATGAACATAAAGAGTTAAACTAATTTCACATTTTTCTCCTGCCCTTGGCAAAACAAAAAGAAATGAAGAAGGATACAAACACTCCAGTTCATTTTACAAGCTCTAGATTGTGAAAATCCTAAGGGAATGAAGAAACTGAGTCCCAAATGTTATTTGCTCAGTCAATGAGTCAATGTGAACTCTAGAAAATTCTATCCAATATGTCTCTTTTGTATAACAGTGCCTCATTAGTTCTCTTTAACAATCAATAAGATTACTTATAACATGGGAGTGGCACATGCCAAACTTGAAAAGGCATTCAGTTGCTTACCACAATTTGTTTTAGTTTCTCAGAATAATAACCCAAGGTAGAGTAATTTTGGGATCTGGAGACATGCATTTTTATTTCAGATTCATCTTCTGAGAAAAACAAAAAAATCTGCAGAAAATAAAGATTTGATTTTCCCCATTTCTCAGAAGTATGGTCAAACAAATTAAATTGTGTGTGTGTGTTTTCGATGAAATTCATGTGCCATGGATATATTCATTCTGTGGAAATTCATGGAGTTATATATGTGCTGATATATATACATTTTCTGTCTGCATAACTTATTTCAATACAATTTATATTAAAAATAAGTCTATTCAAAAATATGGAGACTGAAGACCTAAACCAGTCACCTAACCTAAACCAAAAATAATCTTTAATCTTTAGAAAGCCCCAGCACAGTCATTCAACATCTCTTAGAATCAAGGAATATTCATTTTGTTCAGTGGACATATCTGTTATTTTCTCAGTTAGGCACTCTCGTTATTTTCACCAATGAGTGAACTTCTCCAACACTGACCATTTTCAACAGTGTACCTGTCAATTACTTTCACATTGTTTTAGAAATCTACATACTCCCACTAATCACAGTCTTGTCTTAGTTTCATTACTTTTCAAAGCATTTTCACACTAGTATACCATTATATACAGTTAGATACTTAGTACAGACGTAGGTTAAACTCATAATTCAGGAAAAAATAGAAATTTGATATCAAATCAAGTAAATAACCTAAATCTGGTTGGTTAACAGGTCAAGTATAAAAACCTTCAATAATTAAACTACAGCGGCTTCTTTGTATGTATCCATGTACTGAAATTTTTCAAGATATTCTTAATGTTCTTTTACGGAAAAATTTTTTTTAAGCTGCAAATCCACCTTGTCTCATCTATCTATCTATCTATCTATCTATCTATCTATCTATCTATCTCTCCCTGCACGCCTGTCCCTTCAGTTTCTTCTCTCCTTTGGTATCAACATTCGAAGAAAACATATAGCACTGAAACCTTCTTAAATAGGTTCTTTATAAACAACTGGATTCTAGACGTCTAACATGACCATAATAATGCCCCTGTTCTATCAGTAAACGAAAATTGTTTCACTTCTTCATCCGAGCGGTGGTAGTTTCAAAATGAGTTGATGATGTTCCTGATACCATAATCAGGGTAACCTATCGAATATATGATTAAGGCTCAGTGTGGGGAATTGAGATGACAACCACTTTGCCTAATGTGGGAACACAGCAGTTGGGCTTTTTCTGTGGTAATTTTCCTCTAGCTCCTCTACACTGTAGCCAAAGTGGAAGGTGAGCCATCTGCGACCCACCGCCCGAAACTGTTAACCATTTAATCAAAACTGAGAACATTAAGGCAGAAAAGAATCCCACAACCGGGTGGGCAGGAAATGGTGGCAACTGCTGAGAAGAGGGCAGGAAGGCACAGTGGCGGCGGCTGCACTGCGCATGGCCGTCGCAGGGGTGGGCGCGCCGGGACAGGAGCCCGCGAGCCTCTCCACTGAACCTTTTAGAGACTTAATGGCTTGGATTCTATTACTTTGTCTGAAGCCTTGACAGAGCTTCATCGCGTGTCCCGGAACCCTGAGCAGAGTGATAGGGATAATACGGATAACTGCAAAGACTAAAATGGCTGATCAGCGACTTCTGATTTCCAAACTCGGCCGGATCCAACTGCTTTCTTTCGGGTCCTTCTCCTCTCGCTGCCTTTGCTGGAGCCCCGCTACCGGAGAAAAAAGCGCACCCGGCCGGAGAGCTGACCGCGGCGCCCACAGCAGAACGGCCCCCTTCAACTTAGGCTGAAGCTCCGCCGAGCACCGAGAAACTGACAGCGCTCCCGCTCCGCCCCTCCCCGACACGGCGTGCGGTGGGCCCGCGTCAGCCTCGCTCCTCGCCGCGCCTCGCCGCGCCCCTCGGGTGGGCGTTATGTAACAATCCCGAGCCCAACTCCAGAACCATTTTAACAACTTGTCCCGTCGAAGCGGGGAATATAGGACTCGCGGGGCCCATACAATGAACCCGAGCTGGGCCTGTGGATTTAAATCCGGGGTCAGGAGAGGAGTGCAGCCGCCGGGGCAGGCGGCCGGGCTCTAGCAGTCGCCGGTGGGATCTATCCAGCAGACCGACTGTGCGCCCGGGGGAATAAACGTGTTGTCTGTGGTCAGGGTACCACCAGTCGCGCAAGGGGTGCGGGGGGGAGGGGGAGGGGGCAAGGAGGGCTTCTCTTGAAGCACTCAAGATAAGCTAGAATCCCCAGAACCTAAGGAAGCCCCCTCCAGCTCCAATCCTCACCCCACTTCCCTAGTGCGCACACTCTTCAATGCCTTTTGCTCCCTCTTCACCCCCTCCCCGCCAGCGGGGGTCCCCGAGATTGCAGCCACTTTCTCCCTACGCCGTCACACGCACGCGCGTGTGCAGTCACTCACACCCACATACTGACACAAACACACACACACCACCCCACACTCGCGGGCGCTCCGCGGGCGGCATCCAAAAGACATGAATATTCATTACTTACAAGCATTAGTGACTGCGAAGCTGTTTGCTACCTCCAAATTGTCGATGTGGGGAGTCAGTCTGAACTCCGAAGTGGAAAACTGAACCATTCCTACCCGAAATGCACTGTATTCCTGATCGGCGCCCCTGGGAAATAGACCCCCTGCAAAGAACAAACACCAAGCAGAACAGTGTCAGTGCCAGGGAAGGAAAGGAGGGGAGCCCGCTAGCGCCCAACAGCCCAGGAATCTCTTATTCTCGCTAATAGGCCGAATAAACGCATCAAGGGACTCGGGCAGCGGGGAGCTGATCTCCAAATGGAAGCTAAGGGGTCAAGACACAGATGAGAGTCTGAGGGCAAGGTAGGTGGCCAGAAACGTTAGCCTTTCCCGGCAACCAAAACCTTTTCATTCAGACCCCCTAGAGGACCTGAACAAACAGGAAAATGTTGCTTGAGGCAGAATTAATAAAATTTGGGGATCAGAAATGAGAACACCTTTTCCTCTATTGTATCAAAGCCATAGCCTTTTCCCTTTGCTTCATGCTAAGAAAAACATGTATATTCTAGGCAGTTTAAATCTGGAATGCAGTCAAGGTATGACATAAGTCTACATGACATGAATTAATTTGTCCACTGTGAACAAAGATTACCACCAAATTATGCACAATTCAAAAGCAGAGCACAAAGGGTACCTACCTATCTGTATGCTGTTAGAAGAGACACCAAAAATCAGTCCCCATAAAACAGGAGAAAGGAGGACAGATATATGCATAATCTTTTGCATTTCCAAGAAAAGTAGAGCATCCACAAAATACCCCCCTTTTTTTTTTCCTTTTCCTCCTCTTTCTTCCTTGGCGGTTTTCCTCAGCAAATTAGATCCTCTGCATTTTGAGACAGCAATTTAGCACCAAGCTCCTAAAAACCTGAAGTGGAGGCAGAAGAATTCCTATTTCCCAGGTCCTGCTGGTGGCTGCTGATGCCCTGCGCCCTGTCCCTGCTCCCGAAGTCCGGAGGACCGGCTGGATGCAGTTTTCAGCGGAGCTGCCGCTGTGGTTCCAGTGTCTTGGAATATTCAGCACCCTCCCATGCACTCACACACACTCACCCTCTCTCGCGCTCTCTTCTCCCTCTCCCCTCTGTCTCACACACGCGCGCGCGCGCACACACACACATACACACACACGCAAGTCACAGAGGAGCAGGCAGTCCCGGGCGCGCGTGCGCGACTCGCGGCAGGCTGCTAGCGCGCGCGTCCAACCCCTCCCCCGCACCCCGCACCCCGCACCCCGCACTGCCCTGGCAGCTTCGCGTGCGCGGCGTTGAGAAAGAGCGGCTCAGAGCCGGGCAGCCGCCACCCCTGGGCTAGACCTCGGGTCTCGCGAGCTGTCGCGCCCACCGAACGCTTCTGCCTTTCAGCACCGAGGACAGCGCCCCACTCCTCGCCTCGTGCTACCTTTGTGCCTCCGCAGCAGCTGCCGCTGAGATGCTCCAGCCTGGACCAAACGCAGCAAAGCTGATTTCCGGCTGCTGTGCAGAAGCCGAATTGCTAATTGTTGCCGGTGAAGCGTTTTCTCACCAGGCCCTACTGTTTTACATTTTAAGTAATTTTTGTTTTCGTTTTCTATGGCCTGTGAAAACTCACCTAGCAATGTAGAAAAGCTATCATCCTCCTCATCTGACCCAGCCAAAAAGCAAACAAGAAAACAAAATACCCATCGAAGAACTGTTCCAAAATCGTGAAGTTTTGCTAAATGTGATGTAGCCAGCATCCAGGGACAAACCCAAAATTCTTTCTTTAAAGGCTAAAGCCGCATAGGAAGAGATCAAGATTGAATCTTTGAAACACTTTGCATGGATATCCCATCTTTAGAGTGTGTTCCACTGGGTCATAATGCCAACTTGCAGAGCCAGCTGAGTGCAGGTCTGGCAGACTTCACTGCAGACAGATTCCCTCCTGTAGTAGACATGTAGACTTGGCTCTTTAGAAGCCCTTTCTTTACTGAAAGCAGAAGACTCCGTTTCAAGGAAAGGCTCATAGGAGAAAGAAAGATGATGAAGTAAGTCTAGAAAGGCCTTTGAGCTGCACAATCTTTCCCAGAGACGTAGTGAGAAACCGGATATTCCACCGCTTGTTGGCCCTGGGTTTTGAGAAATCGCTGCTCAAAGAAAGTAAGCTAAGTTTTCATCACTTTAAACCCCCGAGCTTGAGATCACTGCGAAAGAAAGATGAGGTTAGGGATTAAAGTTTGTGGGAAGGGAGTTGATGGGGAGGATCTAAGACTAGACTTCCCCCCTGCGGAATTTATGCACTTCTCACCGCTTGCCAAGCAGTTGCCTGGGAACCTGCTCTGGCAATTCCTTCGGCTGCCTCAGAAATTCTTAAGTTTTATGGATTTTTTGGTTTAAACAAAGAAATAAAGGAAGGTTTAGTACAAGGGATTGTTTCCAGAAGGCAGTAGACTGGAGCCCATAATACTAAAGGATTGACTTGCTAATATTTCAGAATGCTGAGAGTGTTAGTCTATCATGCTGCCTTCCTGTGCAATTATCACACTAACATCATTCCTACAACCTCCTTGTTAACTGTTCACTCACACTTGGCCCTCAATCGTTCCAGGGCTTGATTTCTTCATTTTTAGAAATGAGAAAGATGGGCAAAGTGTCCTCTATGGCTCTCAAATCCTATAAATCTGTGATTTCAAGTTATGATCTTCCCCTGCTTTTGATTTTGGATATTTATTCCTAAACCAGGAAGTGAAATATCCATAATCTACTACTAAGCTTAGTAAAATACCTTAGTAAAAATATCTCCTAATTTTATCACCAAGAATTTATTTTAGTCTGTTAATAAGCAATTCACTATATGTAAAACAGGCCCTGTGAATTAAAATGCATTTAGTTTTTTAAAAATTAAGGATAAAAATGGCAAAAGAGCTATAAATAAAAATATATCCAAATTTACAATAGAAAGAATAATTAAATTAAGCTTCTCTATTTAATCACTAGTTGTGATGTAAGGCACAAAAAATGATCTGAAATTATTCCCTATTTGAAATATAGATGTATATAAAAATACATATGAATGAATAATTTCTCAGAGCAAAATAAAAAATACTTTTCCAGTCATTTTCTTTTTTTCCCCATTCAGTTTTTTCCACAAGAACTCCAATTTCATACAAAGAAACTTGGAATAAAAGGAGAGAGAGAGAGAGAGAGAAAGAGGAGCTTAAATGTGGAGAAACAATAACGTTTGAAGTGTAGATCAATGAAAATTGAATTTTTCTTTAAAAAATGTTTCAAAAACTATTTTCATACTAATCTATTTCAAATTCAGAGGCAAAGATGAACTCAAAATGACTGAATTACATTCTATAAAAGCAAATGATATAAAGTAAGAATTTGCTGAATCATAGATCATTTTCCCTAGTAAATAATGTAAGAACTCTGGGCAAATATTACTGTTTAATGACAAATTATAATTCATATATAAAATAGAAGTAAAAAATTTAGTAGGCATTAGTTGTAATTCAACTGCTATTCTATTGATGTGTCTTTCGCAAGGTAGTTATTACATATGTACATTTCACAACATACCTGTATACATTTCCTGCAATGTTAGTATCATTATATTAATATCATCATTCATGGAACTCTTTCTAATGTGCTATAATATTTATATAGCTTATATTTTTCAAGCATAAAATACTATCTTTATAAATGTAATTAAATTGACTGAAGTAAATAGTTATGAAAATGAATGAAAACTACTAGAATTTATTTTGAATACTTAGAAACTTCTCACTTCAAGAATATATCTCTAATTTATCAGTAATAAAATCAATTTTGAAAATTCCAAAACTACTAGATTTATAGTTGAATACAGTAGCTTGCTCAAAGCAACAGAATTTGCTCTTTTCTGCCCTCTGCTGTTCAATTTTGGTAATTATCCATAAGTATTGTTTCCTGAAGCAAGGATAAGTTAACATTAAACATGGAAGAAATAAAAATACTACCCACCCTGTCATTTGTTTGTTTGCTTAGTTGGTTGTTACTGTTGTTCCTTTATGCGTGTGTTTAAATATAATTTTTAGAATTAAGGCTAGAAATAAGTATTATATGTAAAATTTCAATTTCTGTTTCACTTAATCTTTGTTTCAACATGGGAAACAATAATTTCCCTTTTAAATCTGCTTTAAAATGCTTAAGGACATTATATATCCTACCCAATCTGCACAGTTTTAATTTTTATTCCATAATAAATAGCTTTGCCTAAAGGAAAGGAAAGTCATTGTATGTGAGGAGGGTTGTGATAATTTTTTCAATGACTGGTAGTACAAATTTTAGCTGATTTCATTATCAAAAGTGGATTATAAATTAGTGCCATACTCCCTACTGACAAAGTCTCACCAAAGTGGAGGTCATTGCCTTTCTTCCTATCGGTCCTCTGGAACTGTGAAAATGTAGGCCATCTGAAAGGCTTGGATGCAACTCAACAATAGGAAGGAAAGAGGGTCCATGTTCTTTCAGCAGAAGATAGCAGATTGCAGCTCCTGCAGAAAGAACCCTGGTTCCAGACATGAGACCCCATTGGCTGAGAAAAAGCAAATAAAGAAGTGAATAAGAAAACATGAGGATTTTAATCACTTAGGACTATAGATAGAAATTTCAGTTCTTTAATTAAGATAAAGAATAACATTAATATTAATAGTTATTCTAGATTGAGACAATATTCTTTTCTTTTATGCAGCAAAAATTTAAATCACTGATTCAATAACATCAACTACATGACCCAAAACATCTATCTAAATCTAAGCAAGTTAGACTTTTGTACCTCTTTTTAAAATGAATTTAGAATGTCCAAAAATGAAAATAAGTAGTTTTCATTTTAGGTTGTTTGTGAGCTTTGGTTATATGAATTTATATTATAGGTAACAATCCTGTACCAGAAATATTTAAAACGGTGTTTCAATTCTTTCATTAATTCAATAAACTCTGAGGAACTACTATATTCCAAATACCGTGGTTGACACAGTGTATAAAAAGATGACCCAACAAAAACTTTTCTCAAGAAATTCCCAGACTTCATTCAAGTAAGAAAATGATGAAGACCATGTGAGAAGGGCAATAAGAAATGAAACAAGTAGGCATATGGTTAAGATATGGTGAGGCAAAGAGGAATCGATAAAGCACATTTTATGTTGGAGCTCAGGAAAGAGGAGAGTCACCTAAGGCTAACACCTGAACTGAGTCAAGTAGAAGTTATAGATAGATAAATGGTGGGGATGTAGTGAGGTAAACACTTTTTTTTTATTTTAATTTTCAACTTCATGGAGTTATAATTGACAAATAAAATTAAGGTATTTAGAGTGTACAGTGTGATTACTTGATATATGTTTCCATTGTTAAAGGATTACCCCATCAAGTTAATTAACATATCTATCGCTTCACATATTTATCCTTTTTTTGTTTTGAGAACATTTAAGTTCCACTCTCTTAGCACATTTCAATTATACAATACAGTGTTATCAACTATAATCATCATCTTATACATTAATCATCAGACCTTGTTTATCTTAAAATTGAATGTTTGTATTCCTTTACCAACCTCTCCCTATTTCCCCACCCTCCAGCCCCAGGCAATCACTCTTCTACTCTGTTTCTGTAAGTGTGACTTTTTTTTTAGATTCCACATGAATCAGTGATATCATACAGTATTTGTCTTTCACTGTTTGGCTTATTCCAATTAGCATAATGCCCTCCAGATTCATTCATATGAAGGTTGAATAATATTATATTATCATATATATCATATATATCGCATATATAGCACATTTTTTTAATCCATTCATGCAATGACAGACACTTAGATTGTTTCCATACCTTGGCTAGTATGAATAATGCTGCAATGAACATAGAAGTACTGGTATCTCCTCAAGATAATGGTTTTATTCCTTTGCATATACACCCAAAGGGGGATTGCCAGATCATATGGTAGCTCTATTTTTAATTTCTTGAGAAATCTTCATACTGTTTTCTGTAATAGTTGTATCAGTTTACATTCCCACCCACAGTATACAATGGTTCCCTTTTCTTCTCATCCTTGCC